TGTATGCTAATTAGCATACATGTACGTGAATAATGAACCGTATTCTTAAATATGAAAATCTAACTAATATTAATTTAATGAATATTAATTAATTGAGAATCAATTACATTATTTATTACAATCTGTAAATTAAATATATATTATTAAAAATTTTGAATTGTAGTATGGCTATAAACGTTCAAAAAATATATTTAATATATTATAAATAATTAGTATAATTTCATTAATTCGTTGACTTTTCTCTCCAATAAAAATCAAGATCTTTACAAAGTTTTCCAGCCTCATTATTACTCCAATTTCTATTATTCCTTAAAGCATACATAACTTGCTTTGAGCAATGTTCAAGATAGTTTAAAAGAAGTAATGAAATGAATTAGGTCGACCCTTTCAAATGTTTGAGTTTCAGAAATCAAAAGGCAATTCTATCCATTAACTCGATACATTTGACGCGTCTAGACAGTTGAAATGTCAATTCTAGACCATATAAAAATCAACAGTATTCAGACTTTTCTCCAACAAAAGAGTTGCCATCATCTTTATTAATTTACAAAGACCTTGCGATATTCCATTGACTGGCACGTCAAGTCTTCGCTCATCGCTCACCACTACTTCCACATCCTATAAGAAATCCATTTCTGTTTGAAAAAATATCAAAATTATAAGCAGATTCCTTTTTTTAGATTAATCATGTCAGCCTTCATAATCTCTACATATTTTTGCTTATTTTGCATTCTCTGCTTCAGCACAAGAATTAGATCGGATCCTCCTCTTTACCATTATTGCCCAAATACAACTACATACAGTCCTAATAGCACCTATCGATCCAACTTAAATCAGCTTTTCCTTACTTTCTCCTCAAATGCCACCCGGGGGAATAGATTTTTCAATTACACGGTCGGCAGCGGCCCTCCCAACACCGTCTACGGTCTCTTCCTATGTAGGGGCGATGTTAATACCGATACCTGCCAACAGTGTGTGGAAACTGGTACAAGTGAAGTCCTACAACGTTGTCCCAAGCAAAAAAGGGCAACTATCTGGTATAACTATTTATTTTATCAAAAGTTGAACTTATCAACATGTATTCATTTAAATATTATTTTCAACAGGTACGACTATTGCACGTTACGCTACTCGAATGAATCTTTATTCTCCAGGCCGGAGCAGTCAGTCACTTCAAACCTGACTAATATGCAGAACATTACAGATGAACCCGAGAGGTTCAGACAGGTATTAGGGGAAACTTTGAATGAAATAGTATCAAAAGCTGTAAATAATAATCCCTCCAATGAGAAGTTTGCTACAAAAATAGCTAAATTCACGGCGTCTGTAAGCCTGTATACACTGGCACAGTGCATGCCATATCTTACGAGTGGTGAGTGCGACTTCTGCCTTAAAAGTGCTATCCCAATATTAAGAACATGTTGTGATAATAAGAAAGGAGGAAGAGTTATTGGCGAAAGCTGTAATATTAGGTATGAGGTGTACTCCTTCTTTGGTTCTACTGTGGCCCCTGCACCACCGCATACTCCAAATAGTCCTCCTATTCAGCCATCGCTTCCCTCACCTTCTTCAACCAGTCAAGGTAACTCTTGATTCTTAAGCAGTACATTATTTTTTCAAAAAAAAAAGTGATATCGACAAGAAAAAGAAAGAGTAATAACGAAATAGTAAACATCAATATGAGTCTGCAATGATCATAAGTTCATAACTAGTCACCAGAGATATATCTCAGCAAATCTTCTAGTTGTGCAGTGGATGATTTCGACAAGAAAATTTATCCTTTTCTTGTCCTCTTTTGTGTTTCCAATTCAGGAAATGGAGGAATTTCAAAACTAGTTATTATTGCCATCGTTGTACCAATTGCTGTTTCCTTTGTGTGTCTTTTCATAATCCGCTGCTTCTTGACAAGGAGAACAAGGAAGAAAGCTTACTATGCCTTCAATGAGGAAAATGGTAAGCTACGATTACACAGGAAAATTAGAAGAAAAAGATTCCCTTTCGGTCTTATTTGAATTTCTGTATACACTAGGATTCTGCATCGATCCAAATCATCTAGAAGATTAAGCCCCTTCATATGCACACACTTCTACATTTTTTTGTAAAATGAATGGTGATCAGAGAACTTGTTGGGTTTTTTGATACCCAATGAATCCCGAGCGATGATGTAAAATCGATGTTGGATAAGTATTGTATCGACACCTAAGATTGATGACCCGACCCTAAAACTATTTGGGGGCCATTGAAAGCAGTTTAATTAATTAGAGTTGCTCATAACCTGATTCCTCACTTAGTGGATGGCTTATTTGGCCCACTTATCGTCTTCTTGTTGGGCTAGCCATTATTGTATTGTACCCTAAGTGATCCTATATATATTGCTCCTTCAAGGCTTTATTGTTTAAGAGAGAGAGAGAGAGACGACTGCTTTCTCTGTGTTTTGTGTTTCCACTTGTAGTTTGTCTCGTTCATCTTTTCATTGTTCTTTAGCCTTTGTGGCTCCTCCTTTGGCACACCTTCCTTTTGTGTCCTAAGTGGGTACAATTGAAAGCAACCAAAGAGAGGAATAGTTTGAAGGTTTTAGGTCGATCGATTGGGTGTCGATTTGGTTGGTAAACTGAGCCCGGGAAATCCATTATTGTTGTAATTTTGCTCCACAATTGGTATCGAAGCCACGTTGGTGGTGGATTTCTGCCGAAAAACAGATCCAAAATCAATAGAATTGGAGCAGAATCCAGATACGAAATTTTGTCCAGTTTCTTGAAAAATTCGAGACCAGGAAATGTGATTTTCGGCTAAACAGTGGCCTGTTGGACAAACGGAGACCACTAGTGGACTGTGAAGGCGGGGGCGCTTCTGGTGTGGGCGCGTTGGACGTTTTCAGGAGACTTTTTCAGTTTTAAAATGGATCATTCAAGGGATCTTGATGAAAATTTGGATATTTTCAACAGACTTGTTCAAGATATTGTTAATTGTGATGAAAAAGTGTCTCATACGTATAAGGACATTGTTTTGCTGAATTCTATGACTAATTCATAAAGAAAGGTTAGAATAAAAAAAAGTATGGTGGAAACACTTTAACACCCGAGATTCTCATAGATTCCCTTAGGAGTAAGGAGTCTAGTGGTAGACGGTGTTACAGTTGTGGTAAGACTAGACACTTTATTAGGGACTGTCCCAAGAAGAAAAAAGATAAGCAGAATGGTAAGATGAGAGGCGAGGCAAATTTGGCCATAGGGTCGAGTGATGACCCTAGTGAGGTTTATTGAGTGTAAACCTAGTTACTACATATGCATCCGTGTGTTATTATTTCTGCATGTGTGTGATTGCTCAATTCTATTACATGATTATATGTTGCATTTCAATGTGTTTGATATGTGCATTGGCATGAATTTGAGTGATCTTATTACTTGGTATAATTGTTTGCATGCATAGTGGTTTGGGATGCATTAGCAGTGTGTAGTATGTCTTTTGGTAAGGGATACATTAGTGGTTTGTACCGGGGATGTGGAGTGTGACATTTGGATCAAGAGTGGAGATGTGATCAAATTTTGAAATCATTTATCTGTGAAGAGACCCTGATCAGGCGGAGTGTAAGAGAGGCACTTCTATCACTTATGTTAGGTGGAGACCCATTATCTACGTATGTTGGGAGAAGTGATGTAGTGATAGAGGATTATCTCAAGAACTTAGGATCTATAGAGACTTACCAGTTAGACATGAGTTGGGCGATCAATCTTGTGAGCATGGTGGGCGATGAGGTGAGATAGGTGTTCTCGAGGTGTGAGCAACACGAAATTGGATATGATAGGTGTAGCGAGATATTTTCGTGGGATCATTTATGTATTTTTTGCATATATGTTGGCCGTGTGCTTGATTAACTTGGTGTTAATCTATTGTTATGTGTGAACATATTTATTTAGAAGGATCTTTAAATTTTATCGAAATCACACCCCTTTGTGGTCAAATTTTGTTAGCCCGTAAATGCTTTTCCAATAAGTTCGGAAGTTTCCATGAACAATATTAAGCCCTATAAAAACTGGCATTCCAATGGCTCAGAATCTTTAAATGAAAACAAGGAAATCGTGTTAACATTCTATAAACAAAAAATTAGAGGACATCATTCGAGTAAATATTCTACGTACATTCAAGAAAATCTGTATGCATATATTGTTTTCATTGACATCTGTTTATATTTATCATTCTGTGGTTACAAGATTCCATTAGTTTCTTGATTTATTTCATAGTCATATTTGAAATCTTGCTTTCGGGGGGAAAAATGGCTTTTGAAGAAACGGAGACCACCGGCGTGACATGCAGGTGGAGGAGATCCTGGTGGTCACACGCATGACCGAAGGCGGCGGCGCGTTGAACCACGAGCAGAGTTCTTGGGCGATGCGGAGGATGCATGGATGGTTTTCTGGCGACGGTGTTTCAGGCAGTTTGTTCTTGACATGTTTTTAACATTTTGGTGTTGTTAGTGTTTTATTTTTGGTTATACAGCGAAATTTGGGCATTTTTGTTCTTCGTGTGTTCGGGATTCGATCGTGGTTGGTTGATTCCTACGATTGTTGGAGACTTTAGGATGAATAGTGGTGGTCATATAGTGATAAATTCGCATATCTCGATATTTATGGACCTTCAGACATGGTCCGCTCGGTATCGTGTTCTTTACCGTTTACTATTGCAGTTATGGTTATTGTGTAAGATAACAATTTAATTTTCACATTAGAAGTCATCGTGTGGGGTGACATTAGGATTGAGATTATCGTGAAATGGTAACCATTGCCTGTTGCTAGATTTATGAATTACTTGTTAATTATTTGTCTTAAATTCTTCGTCAATTTGTTGTCAATTATTTTTGCATTATTAGAATTACACGTGAAAAATGTGGTCTAAGGCGAGTGCGAAAAATAAGATGTATTTTAACTGTAGTCAATTTGGACACGGTGGAATATATTGTCCTAGGAATGATAATAAAAGAAAAGATGAGGTGAGAGACGAGGCGAATGAGGTTATATGGTCGATTGATGACCTTAGCGAGGTTTATTGAGTGTAAACCTAGTTACTGAATGTTAATCCGTGTATAATCATTTTTGCATGTGTGTGATAGCTCAATTCCGTTACATGATTATGTATTGCATTTTAATGTGTTTGATATGAGCATTGGCATGAATTGGAGTGATCTTATTACTTGGTGTAATTGTTTGCATGCATAGTGGGTTAGGATGTATTAGTAGTGTGTTGTGCGTCTTTTTGGTAAGGTGGAGTATAGATGCCCAGGGCCACATTGGTGGTTTGTACCCGAGATGTGGAGTGTGATAATTGGATCA